GCTCGGCCGGGGGCTGGGCAGTGCCTGGCATGATGGGGCCCTGATCTTGGCTGGGGTCTGGGCAGCGCCTGGCACAATGGGGCCCTGATCTCGGCTGGGGTCTGGGCAGCGCCTGGCACAAGGGGGCCCTGATCTCGGCTGGGGTCTGGGGCATGCTCTGTCCACCGGGTGGAATGAGTTTGCTGGGGCTCAGCCTAGGGGGGCGTGTCACACCTACACACCAGCCCCCTGGGCTGAGGACTGACTGGGCCACAGAGACCAAACTCCTCCCCCCCAAGAGTGTGGGTCTGAGTCCTGGGGGCTGTTGCAGCCAATCGACTTGAATTGATCAAGGGGGGATCTGGTCCCTCCCAGGTCCTGCATGGGAATATCAGCTGCTGGGCTGAGCAGGTGACGGAGGCTCAGCAGGAGGCAGAGCTGTGAGTGTCTGGGGGGCAGCCCCTCCTCTACCTTCCTGGGATCCAGGGCCCCAATGCCTGGATCCCCCCATACACGCACGCCTAGCAGCTCCCTCAGCTGGAAGTGTTGGTAAGGCTGTTATTTCAGGGCGGAGCAGGTGTTCTTGGGCGGGCTCCCTGTGGGGGGGGCCAGATGAGTATCTAGGAGCATTGCTTGGGGGGCAGCCCCATGACGGGCCTGTGGGACATTGCCAGCAAGCTGCAACAGTGGAGCTGGCTCGACTTGGGGGGACACTGGGCTCAAGATAGTGATCACAGGGCACTAGGGGAGGGGCTGGGGTGCCTGGAGGGGCAAAGAGGGATGTGATGCCTGGGGAAGGTGGGGGGAGGGGCAAGAGTTTCCTCCACTTTGATTAAACTGCATCACCCCTGCCTCCAGTTATGGGGGTGTCTTGACTTGGGGGCACTAATACTGTGTCCCCCTCAGGTTCCAGAGCGAGGTGCTACATGGCCCCCCAAGGACCCAGCCCGGCAGCCTGCTGTGGGAGGAGAGAGTGTGGGATCAGACGGTACGGGGGGCTGCGGGCACAGCTGTGCTGGGAGGGGGGGTATGCTAGAGGGCATCACCCCTGCCTCCAGTTATGGGGGTGTCTTGACTTGGGGGCACTAATACTGTGTCCCCCTCAGGTTCCAGAGCGAGGTGCTACATGGCCCCCCAAGGACCCAGCCCGGCAGCCTGCTGTGGGAGGAGAGAGTGTGGGATCAGACGGTACGGGGGGCTGCGGGCACAGCTGTGCTGGGAGGGGGGGTATGCTAGAGGTGGGGCTCAGGGCACAGGGGGGCTATTGGAGGGAGGGGCCTGTCTACAGGGCGAGGGGGGACATGACGTGGAGAGCTGGGGGCAGGCAGGGGGGG